ATGTATGTATGTCTGACAGTCCCTCTCGCCTCAGGCAGGCGGGAGGAATCATTCGATGATTTTCCCCCCCTTAAAAAAATAAACATTAACTAATCAATTGAGATATTGCTGATATAGATTAAGCATGACTGAAGGTTTATAAGGTTATTGTAGTGTGAGCTAATGCAAATCAGTGCTATTCATTTGAAAGCGGTTTAATGTTTCTGGCGCACTCCTATTAATTCGAGCAACCCTTTATTTGAACATCTCCGCTGGCACAAACGTGATTTTGAACAAATATTGCGACTCACATGAGTCGAAACATGTTTTATTATTATTCTTTAAGGAGGAAATATGGGAGTTATCCGGAAGTTTTACGGGAGTTTTGAAAATCGGCTATTTTGTACATTATAATGTGGTCTTTTTCGCACCTTTGTACATGCGCCGCTCGAGCTACCATCTTGAAACTAATTGTAAACAAAATTATTAATTAAAACTTTAATAGTAGATACCTACCTAACATTATTAAGCTGTTTACAATTTTATTATGAATTATGACCATTGCCTAAGTTATATTTTGCTATGGGTTCTAGCACCGACTTCTAACCTATCAGTGTGGGTGTGTACGCTATAAGTATGTATAACCATTAATAGTATTTTTTTGCTTTCTAGTTTTTTATTTTCGTATGTTTTTAGTTTTTGAAGGCAGTTTTTTATTTTCATTTCATAATTTTTAGTTTAGTTCTATGATATATTATATCACGTACAACCCACATGGGTGCAAAGATTTCATCAAAACAAATTATTCAAGCTCAAACACCAGGTAGCTACCGGTAGCCGCCGAGGAGATCCCTCGGCTATCGTACTACTTCATCATTAGACAGATAGGCCAAACACAGTATCACTGGTGTAAATCCTCGAGGAGTTCCGTCGACTGGCCCTCGGTTCCATTATCAGATCGACTCCAGACCTTCATCAATTTGTAGTGGTTTTAAATACTTAATGACAAAAATAACAGATAGATAGTCGCCCCTATATTTTTTCCAATTTCCCCTCGTTTTCCCTGGGATCCCATTTCCTTGGATCCTGACTTGATGACAATGGGACCAAATGACAAACCTACCCTTTCAAATAAAAATACAATTGTTGAAATCGGTCCAGGCGTCTCCGAGAAATCGAATACCAAACGTAAATATAACAGTCGATTTGAGAACCGTCTCATTTTTTTTAAGTCGGTTGAAAGTGGTGGCCCAAAACAGTCTTTTTTACAATATTTCATTTCTAGAGCATTTTATGAGAAAAACATTGACTACAAAATTAAACTACCCACGATTTTCTACAACATATGTCTAGTAGATTATTACTATTGTAGATTCATTTTCTTTAAAAAATAACGACTATGACATATCGATGAGTGGTCAAGACGAAATCTCCTATGTGCGGTC